AGGTTTCACAAGACTCCTGTAAAAACAGGGATAGAAAGTTCTGATTTCTATTTGTAAACCATAATGTCACCTACAAAAAACAAAACAAAAAAGTGAACCACAATTGGAATATGGAAAAACCCAAAAACATCAAATCTTACCAAAGATTCATTCACTTTTTCAGAGTGAATTTGAATATTCTAAGTAAAATTTTGTATTTAAACAAATAGCATAGAATATGTAGTATGCACCTTCAACCCTTCTTGGAATTCCTTCCAGGCTGATATGGAGTACCCCTTGATAACCGCCTACTTGTTGAATCGCGTTTGGGTGGAGCTTGTGCAGACATCACTACTTCCGCCGTGAGTAGCTGGAGGCAATGGTGGCCTACATGAATGTTATATTTATACTTAGGCAAGTATTTTTTAACTCAAATTGGCTGAATAAAGTGGTGGTTTTGCACTATGGTACGCCCATTTGTTTTTTTACATGCTACAAACATACTGAGCAGAGTGGCAGTGCACTACATGACCTTTGGTAGTGTATTTGTAGACTCCTGAAGTGCCTTTGGGTTTTAAGTCATTGAGGCTTTCCATGTGATCTCAGAAACGGTGGATGGTGGACTGCTGATATACATGCCTATTTGAGACCACCTATAACATGGGGTCTCATCATCTGGTAAAAGACCATTTAACTGGTGGCGGGGATTTCACTTGGCTGTGTATTGACACTTGGAAGTAGACACGTATCGTACAGATAAATGGTGGTGGAACCCGCCTTCATATGATCTACTTTTGATTAGTTAAACACATAGTTTGTGGACATTTTGTTTAATGTATTGATCCACTTAGGATCAATTATCAATTCTGATTAAGAGTCCACTTCCTCTGCACAAAATTATATGTTTTCTGTTGTACGTATGAGCGTTATGATTTGACACACTTACAGGTATGTATTTAAAAAGATAACATTTGCTTTAATTGTATTTTGTAGCAATTTTGATACACCACACAACAATTTATCTAGCAGCTGATATGCAGTACCAGAATGACAGCCAGGAAACAAGAATGTTTACATATTTATTTAGACAGGAGGTCAGCAATGGAAAACAGTGTATACTCTCCAGCGCTCCAGGGAATCAATGCCAAAGGAAGGCCAGGGGAACCAGAACAGAAGGAAGCCTATGGACAGCATTTCAGAGATGCAGCCCTCAGATGGGGAAATCAACAACTAGAAAAAAAAGCGTACAGGAAGCGCAAACACCTAGTGCATTATCCAAGGTTTATTAAAAATGAAAAAAAGGACAAAAAACATAGCATGTGTCAGGGATCGCCGCAGCGCTGGTCCCGGCGCAGGCGCAGTATGCCGACTCGCACTGGTGTGCGGGCGCTAGGTCCTGGCCGGCCACGGGGCTCACGCATGCGCACTGGGGTCCGCGGGTGCGCGCCTGGCACCAATGACAGCGCAGGGCGCGGTATTTAAATCCCCCCTGTGTTGTCACTGGTTGCCGTATTGTCTTTCCTGTGTCCTGTTCCTGAACCTGTGTAGTTGTGATTGTTGCTGACCCGGATTACTCTGCTGATTTCTCCTGCCCCGACCCTTGGCTTGCCTGACCTCGCTGCTGAATGTCCCTATATAGATCTGATCTCTTGTTGCTGACCTGGCGTGTGACCCGACCATTCTCTGCCCGCTTTGTACCGCACCGACCCCGCGGCTACCGACTCGGCTTGTCTGACCTCGCACCTGCTCCTCCATCCATCCGTCCATCCAGTCGGGTTATCCCTGCCTCCTCACCTCAGGCTCTCACCCAGCAGGAACCTCTGGCGAGCTCCTCTACCACTGGTGGGTATACCCGGGGGCCGTGACCTGGTCTCGGTTCACTCCAAGTCCATCCCCACCATCAGGGGCCCTGGTGAACAAGTGAACCAGGACTTGGACTCCGCACTCTGGGGAAGCCTGACCAGTGGGCTGCTAGAGGTACCGCCAGGCGGTTCCTTACAGCATGTATGTAAAGCTTGTTAGACCATGGAGCTGGCCACGACAAATGGCAGGGTGTCTATCAGTGTGGTCGGCTTACTGACGCATTTCAGGGATGAGTCCCTTTCCTCAGAGCTTATGGCCAAAGCTCTGAGGACAGGGGCTCGTCCCCGAAACGTGTCAGAAAGCCAACCACACTGATAGACACCCTGCCATTTGTCGTTGGCCAGCTCCATGGTCTTACAAGCTTTACATACATGCTATGATTGTGAGAATGTTTTTGTCCTTTTTTCATATTTAATAAACCTTGGATAATGGACTAGGTGTTTGCACCACCTGTATGCTTTTTTCTAGAGGTCAGCAATTGCAGTCTTTTTTTTTCCAGGTCAGGCCTTTTATATTTCAAGGGCACAAGATTGTGGTAGGGCCTACCCAAGTAAAGAAGTTTATTTTCTGTGCAATCTTCACATTGGTATCTAGACCCTTTCCTAATAAAACCAGATATGAAGTTTGTGGAGACAGACAAAAGGAGAACATTACTGGATGAAAATAAATAAATCATGTGACAGCCCATGCAGTGACTTAGAACATGGCCACATAATTACTTGTCAAGAAGTGAACAGAACGTAAAAGTGAATATTAGTGCTTTACATTTTGAAAGAATAGACATAATCTGCATAGAACATCTGGCATCAATGTTTAGCATTTGTGCTGAGATCTTGCCATGCCATTAATCTTTCTTCTTGCCAGAGTTATCCTCAAGATATACACAGCAAGCACCATCTGTTCTGATAACAGTATCAAAATAGGGTTTAATCACAAGCTGGGCATCCACTTATTATGCTTAACTTTATAAAACTAAAATTCCAAGGCTTGGCCAAGAAAACTACTATATAAAAATGTATCTGAACCCACAATTACACCAGAAAAGAGCTTTTATTATTAGCTATGCTATATATTTTATCCATCTGTAATTACAACTATGCTTTATAGACAGACCAAAACAGAGACACTAAAGTTGGCACTGTAACTGGCGACTTTAGTTACACTCTTCCTAAACCATACAGCTAAAATAGACTTTTAATATATACTGTGACTGGGCTTCTGCCATTCAACCATCAAAAACAATAGAAACAGATTGCAATGCATTTTAGTGGTGTACATAAACATACATGTCAAATGGCTGTAAAAAGCTTGTGCTGATGAAGCTTCTTAAATGCCCACTTTGAAGTACAGCCGTTGCACCCATTAAGATCTGTATTCAGCACTTCTGGAGCAAAAAGAGCGCTTTCAAAAGTAACTGCAATTGGAACCAAAAGCCTGTATCCAACATCATTGTCCATCCTTGTAAATTGAATGCTAAACCTCAAAATGCAGACAAAATGTATCTTCTTACTGTGCAACCTACCTTAGATCTGGAAGTATTCACACCTTGAGTCGCCTCAAAATGGAAACAGAATGATTGGAAAAAGGACTGATCTGATAGCGTGTGTCAGCCAAGATTCTTTATGGATGGGCTCATTTGGAGGACTGGTATATGGGCTTTAAGTAGCATTGGCAATCCTTTGCCAATGGTCCTCAAATCCATTTACAAAATTTGATACACCTTGATGGAACATCAGAGAAAAGTCTCTGATGTTCCACTTTTAGAGAATATATATACACATTATATATATATATATATATATATATATATTTATATATTTATTTAGCTAGAGTAGCTATAGACTCTAATCCTTATCCAATCTACAAATACAGTTTCCCTCTTGGCAACATTTTACTTCAATTTGCTTGTCCGGTGACAAGAAGCAGTAGCGCCAGAGATCGCAAAAAAAAAAAAAAATCAAAAATGTTGTCACCCCTTTCCCACTCCACCCCCACAGTGACTCTCATTCCTCCTGTAGCAACTTCAGGAGTCTTAAAGCAGTATTGAACTTTTCAAAAAAAAAAAAAAAAAAAGTTAAATGCCCCCTGCAAGTTGATGCCATATGTGCTGCACACTAGCGCATAACAAAAGGACTTGCCTTTCACACATAGACCTTCAGTGCTGAGCTATCGCCACTCCTGTTGCTTCTATCTTCACCAGATTTTCCTTCTGGTTCCACACATTCCGGCTGCTAGAGTGGCCGGACCGAGATGAGGCCACTCCCGTATAGGAGACATCACCATGGCACACAGTGGGTGCCCTAAATGTGGTTTAAGCTACACATGCCAGATTACATTACCACTGATAGGCCAGGACAAGCATTGATGACATAAGAGACCACTAGGGTCTTTACAGTTACAAAAACCCTACCTGTCAGCATTTTATTTAAATATCAGAGGTCAATACCGCTTTAATTCTACTCCTGCATTCTCAATAAAACCAATTAAAAAAAAAAAATATTAAAAGTGAGATCTGAGAATTTAGGTGGAGAACTTTGGTAGAAAGATCCAGGAAGCCAAAGAAAACAAGTGTATGGCAAGCCAAAAACCTATGTTTTGGAACAAGTGGGAAAGTTGTAACCCCTTTTGGGTTTTTACTGCTATCGAGAGCACAGTCAGACAAAATTTCTCCCCACTACTTGCGCTGTTGGTACATTTTTGCTTGACAAAAGTAAGAACTTTAGGGGTTTTCTTTTTGTTTTTTGGTAGGAGAAAGCTAGAACCCCTTTCAATTTTTTGTTCTGTCTGTCTTCCATTGCAGATCCCCCCACCCCCTCATTAACCACTTGCCTACCAGGCACTTATACCCCCCCCTTATTTACCAGGCCAATTTTCAGCTTTCAGCGCTGCCGCACTTTGATTGACAATTGCACGGTCATGCAACATTGTACCCATATGAAATTTTGATCATTTTTTTCTCACAAATAGAGCTTTCTTTTGGTGGTATTTAATCGCCACTGGGCGCTTTACTTTTTGCGCTATAAATAAAAAATTGCCAAAAATTTGAAAAAAAACAAGACGTTTCTTTGTTTCTATTATAAAATTTTTCAAACAGGTAATTTTTCTCCTTCACTGATGTGCGTTGATGAGGCAGCACTGATGGGCACTGATAGGCGGCACTGATGGGCACTGATAGGCAGCACTAAAGGGCACTGATAGGCAGCACTAATGAGGTGGCACGGATAGCCGGCACTGATAGACAGCACTAATGAGGTGTCATGGATAGGCGGCACTAATATGCAGCACTGATAGGCGGCACTGATAGGTGACACTAATGATGGGTACTGATAGACATCACTGCTGGGCACTGACTGGCAGCACTGACTGGCACAACCGCTGGGCACTGACTGGTGGCACTGACTGGCAGCACTGGTGGGCGGCACTGGTGGGTGGGCACAGGTGGGTGGCACTGCTGGGCACAGGTGTGTGAAATTGCAGGGTGGCACAGGTGGGTGCACTGCTGGGCACAGGTGGGCGGGGCTAGTGGGCGCACTGCAGGGCACAGGTGGGCGGAACTTGCGGGTGGCACTGCTGGGCACCGATCATCAGAGCACTGATGATCGGTGCCCTGATGATCGGTGCCGATCCCCGCTCTGACAACTGCCGGTTCTCGGAAGTACTTTCCTCACGATCTGACGGCATGAGGAAAGTGCAGCCGAGAACCGGCACTTGCATTTCCCTCTGATCAGCGTGTCATTGGACACCGCTGATCAGGTGGTAAAAGGCCGCTGTGATTGGCCTTTTACTACATCACGTGATCAGCTGTGTCCGTAGGACACAGCGATCACGGAGATTGCCGGGTGCGCGCCCCCTGGGGCGCGCCAGAGAGCGCGTTCTGGGGGGACGTCATATGACGTCCACTCAGAACTGGCCGCCGCAGTGCAGCCGTCATTCGGCTATCTGCGGTCGGCAACAAGTTAAAGCAACAGTATGAGCTCTGGAAACAAAACAAAACAAAAAAAAAACAAAAAAAAAAAACTCACCCAAGTAGGTGCAGCATTGATCCAATGCTGCATTTGCCCCCCACCGGCTCAGAAGCGAGAACTCAGTTATCAAACACTGCTGATTACTCAGTTCTCCACTCTGCTCTGAACAGAGATCTGTAACGGTTCGTCACTGACTCTCTGCTCTGCCCCTCCACTTACTGGAGCTCTTGGCTGTGGAGGGGGCAGGAAGGGTTGGTTCAGGCTCACAGCAGTTCGCTGAGAGGCTGAGCCAGGGGCTGGGTCCAGCACCTCGTTACTGTCGGCTGAAAACAGGTCACATGAGTGCAGAACGAAAACTGCACTCCTGTGATCCATAGGAGAAGTCCAGTACATAAAAGCTTTAGCTTTACTTCTCCTTTAAACCAAAAAGGCAACATATTAAAACCTACACATTGGATGTGGTGGCTGCAGTAGTTTCCATTTAGGCATTTTTCCTTCTCTTTTCACCTGGTGATCTAGCCAGTAACACGCTGCCTGTATATAGGATGCCTACACTCTGGATGAAGGAGCAACAGAGAAACCTTTGGACAGCAGCATTGTCAGTCTAGGGGGAGGGGAGTGTTCTATGCACTAGCAAATTTAAATCCACTAGACAAATTGAAGCTAAAAACTCCAGTTAAAGCTTTTTAGACAGTTAAAATAACAGTTTTGTTCCTTTTGGGATAAAAGGTTTTATATAAATAAAGCTGACTACTGTAAGCGCCCATCACTGTTAAATGGTTTGTCTCAACCCTCTAACTGCTACAACTGCAGGACAGCTTGTTCTGTTGAAAAATAAGACTTATTGGCAGGATCACCAGGTGAAAAAAGAAAGAAAGCCTAAAAAAGAAAATGAATTACAGCCATTACATATAAGAATCGGTAAGCTGCAATATAATTTTAAAAAATTTGCTTCAGAGTTTAATGTCTCTTTAAAGTGGAACTTCAGCCTCAATCAATATTGATTATTTTTAATTCTTATGCTAGTATTAATAAATGGTTAGGAAAGTAGATTATATTTACTGTTTTAAACTTTTCTTTTTACATTTCTTCAGTTACTTCCTGGTTTCCATGCCTAGGCAAATTATGTCATACATCCCAGGAGTCTTCAGGAGGGGAAGGTTGGTTCCCAGCACAGCCAATGCCTGAGCTAAGGTTAGATGGATTCCAGAAAGTAAATGCTACATGAATCATCTGACTTTAATCAAGATGGCCATTGCCAGAAATGCTAGGGGGGGGGGGGGGGGGTTTTCTAAATTATTTGTCTGCAAAATAAAATAAAGCATGGAGACATGGATAGATGGAAGAGTTTGCTTTGAATACTAAAAATTAAATAGCATTTATGGTTTTTGTGGTGCTCAGATGCAGTGCAGTTCCACGTTAAGTAAAACATTTCCACTTGTACAGCAAATTAGGAAAAATCTTTTCTATACACTAACTGAAACAATATATGCACCACTTACAGATACATGTCCTGGACCGAGTCTGGTGCACTCATCTGTGACCACACTAGCCTGCAGCGCCTCCTACAGTAAGTGCACTGCAGCTTCACAAAATTATTAGGAGCACTGATGGTGACACTGCAGTAAATTAAACAAAATTATCAAGCTAACAGGACCCTCAGACCCAATAGGTTCTGTATAGCAGAAGTAACAGATGTTAAGGAACCTTCAAAACGGTCTGTATATAAAAAACAAATGATCAAGGGATTATCAGACTAAAATGCACAAAGTCTTCATTTTTTTTTTTTTTTTTTTACATTTAATTACATTCTGGAGGAGGAAGAACACAAATAAGGGTAAGAGTATTAACAGTATAGGTAGGAGTATTGATGTCACTTCTTTCTGTATGTTTTAGCCCTGCACTTCACCCTCTTCACAAAAACAGATCTGGAACATTAAGGGGCCTCATGCACACAAGATTTTTTGGGCAGAAAACGTCTGATGCTGGTAAAAATGGCCAGAATAATCATTTATTCTGGCCGTTGAAATGAACACTCAAGTGCTAAACCTGACTAACGTTAATGTGTATTTTAGACATGTTTACAGGCGTCAAGCATTTTTATTCTGCCAAACTCTACTGCTCCTGGATGCACTCCAAGTGTTTTTTCTTTCTGCCTCTAAACTCCTCAAAAAGCCTATGTGTACATGGACACATAGGCCAAAATGCAGGGGCATGTAGAGGCAGAAAAAAAAAAAAAAAAAACCCACATGCAAGACATCTCTAGGAGCAGATGAAAAAAAAAAAAAAATATCCAGTATTCTTGAGGCCAAATGGCTAGTATTCAACTTTCAGCTCTGGTTTTTGGGTTCAAATCCCACCAGGGGCACACTCTGCATGATGTCCTGCAAATTTTAAGGCCCCGTTCACACTTGAGAGTTTTGTAGCTTAAGCAAAAACTATGTTTTTGTTTTCAACAGTCCTTGTTCACACACAAGTGTTCTGCTTGTTTGTAGAAAAATGCCTGGATGCTCAAAAAAGTGCATGAGATAGTTTTCAGGCAGAATTGAGCATTTTGGTTCCCACAGATTTCAATTGAAACGCCTGAAAAGTGTGGCATGAGCGGTTTCAATAGTTTTCTGGAGCGTTTTGTCACTCATTTACAACTCAAATAGCAGCTCTCTGCCCCTTTTTCAGCTTTCCATTAGCTACATAAAAAAAAATGCCTAGTTGAAAATATCCAACAAAAGCTGCCAAAAAAAACCATGCACACATTTATATATGCCAATATAAAAACCTCCTATTAGCAAATAAAGTAAACCTGTGCGGGGCAAAAAAAAAAAAAAAAACCCCACAAAAAAACAGGTTCACATCATTGATTGTCCACTGCCTCCAGCCACTTGTAATACCCATGTTACTCCTGCCACCTTATACCACTGAAATTCACTTTACAAAACTTTTCAAAATGGAATAGCAAGCGAGTTGTACCTTTTTGAGACAACAGAATGAACGTATTTAGATACACAGCTAAAAAGGTTTCTTTGGTATAGATTTTAAAGAGTAACTCAATTTTTGGTAAGAAAAAAAAAAACCATCCCCCATTGGGTGATCCAAGTATGTTGCAAGGATTTTACTAAACATTGTTGCAAATCCCTACCTTTTGTTGGTCTGCAGAAATGTGGACACAGAGATTCATTTAATTTACATTTCTGGGGGGCGTGCAGTACGCTGTGTATAGAAGGCCTCCATGTTGTCTTATTGCACTTTACAGAAAATTACAGAGTTGCAGATTAAAAAAAGTTGGGTACATTTTTATTAACATTCAACTACTATATGACTTTTATCACAATTGTTTACACTTTTTTTTTTTTTTTTTTTTTTTTTTAATATTTGCCATTATTTCCAACAAAAGTGGAGCTACCCTTATAGATACTATCCTATTACCCTTTCGACAGGGGTGTTGCTAGACCCTGGCACCCAGTGCACATGCCCCAGGACCTTTACTGAGTGACCCTCAGATATGGAAATGATATAATCTACACTTTATACAGTTTTGGAACATAATACATTGGTTTCTATGCAGATTTGCGCACTCCAGTTTTTTAGTAAATAACACCCAATCGGCTTCCAGATTTTATTGCCAAAGCTTAACTGAACAAGCGGACATTGGAAGCTGATAGGCTACAATGCACATTTGCACCAGATTCTGAGTGCACCACCTTTAGGAAATCTCTCCCAATGCATCATACATTAGCATTTTGTCATCATAGTGCAATACAGGCTTACATCAGTTTACGAATTTAATGCGTTCTGCAGGACTTTTCATATTGCAAAAAATTTGTAAACCTAAAACAGGGTTTCCCATAGGAATGCATTGAAAACCAATTAACCCATTCTGGAGATCAAAAAAAGTGAAAAAAAAAAAAAAAAAAAAAAAAAAAAAGTCTTTCATCTGTTCAAAACTCTTTATAAAGTGCACATTAAAGGCATAAATACTGTACAGGGACATGATTAAAAATGAATTCGTAAATGCATTGAAAACCAATAAATCCTTTCCGAGGTCAGAAAAAAAAAAAAAATAAAAGAGTTTTGAACAGAAGACTTTTTTTTTTTTTTTTTAAAGTGCACTTTAAAGAAAATACTGTACAGGGACATGATTAAAAAAAAAAAAAAATTTGTAAATGCACTGAAAATCAAATTAATCCGTTGGTATTGCAGAAAAAAAAAAAAAAACGTAAACCAAGGCATTCTTTTCAGTTTTTCATTCGTAAACCAAAAATTACGTTACCAGAGGTGTTGATAAACCAAGGTACGCCTGTATTGCAATATTCAGAACAATTCATTTTTGTTTAGTTAGAAAGATCATATTAGTCTTAGATTTGATCCATAGTGGTCATCATGGTATCCTACAGCCCCTCAACAGTTTATTCGGGTGCCAAAAGTAGCCTCTGGTCTACTAGGACCCTATAAAAACACCCCTGCCTCTTGGGTACCTTTTACTAGTGGGAAAGCCAGTTAATTATTTGTGCCCCCCCCCAATGAATGTTTAGTGACGCAGCCTTCTATAC